ATATACAAGACTACCCCCAATCTAGTAGTCTCCCGACAATTCACAGAAGGTTCGAGAAGGACGTGGCGTGATACTAGTCACGTAACCTCGCTGACGCAACAATATGTTTATATCAAAAGAAGAATATTTTTCGTGAAATCTTACTTTGTAGAAGCATTGGTGAAGAAGTGAATGAATATCAAAAATTATCTTCTCGGTAAGATGACCACAATAACAAAATCAAGGCCTTTGGAGATGACGGAAATGCAGTCCTTGAAAGTCTTAGGTTACTTAGAACTGTAATTCTATCGTTTAAATGATGGCCATTGGAATCACTTAATGGTTTTCTTCTCAGTCGTGCGTGCTAGTCTTTTAAACTTGTTTTCTTGTCTAGTATTACTGTCTTCATATTCTTTCGACTTGATTTGATTAGTAATGGAATATGTCCATTGACGAAGACAACATACTTGACATTTCTCCAAGATATCTTGACTACACTTAATTAGGGTTACGAACTTAGATTTCTTTGTGTGTATGGCATCAATGACACAATGAAGAATGCTATTTAAAGATATTGTTACGACAGCGGAAGTCACGTGACCCTGCTGGCGCTGGTGGCGTGTGCGAGAAATTTCTCGAATGATCCTGAATCTCCTAGTTTGTTCGGGACGCACTCTTTTTTAGTATATAAGCCCGGCAAATAAAAGAAGAGACAGAGATGCGGATAGATTGAAGATAGAGATAACTGAGTCAAGCGAACAGAAGGTACCGTAAGTAAAGTGTGTGAATCGCTGTGATTTATAGCGTGTGTTATAAAAGTTGTTAAGTGTATTACAGAGTTGTATCGAGAAAGAATAAACTAGTTTTAATTAAGAAAGGACTTGTATCGCTGAAGTTCCTCGGAAATAATTTATACCGGAAATTAAGGAAATTATCAAACGAGCAGATACGTAACAATATGTTTTGGCGTCGGAGAGACTTACTGTTATTAAGAGCGAAATGTGGAAGACGTACCAGTTCAGTTATACCACAAGGTATCTGTTGATGACGTTTATACCGATGTAAGAAACCAATCTGTGTTGTGGCTCTTGTCAGTCTTAGAGTTTGTTGTTAGGTAGACGTTCGAAGCACTGAGAAAAAGCCAGTCAACGGTAGTAAACTTTTCATTATTTTTAACATTTTCAGTTTTGACTAAAAGATGGAAAACATTTTCAATGAAGATGACAAACAACTTCAACAAATAATTTAAAAGAATCTTCCCAATGAAAGAACAGAGTTACAACAATATATAATGAACATAAAATAGTCCCAATATGTTAAATGAATAACAAACAGCTATGAAACAAGTAAACATATCAATCACTTTACAAACAATGATTTTTAACTAAATTTACTAGTTTCGAATTGAACTCGGTGGAACTAATTTAATTTTATTTAATTTTCTTTGTCATTTTTAATAGTATTGTTGTGATCTGTATTTCCAATGTCTTAATTTAAATTTTTAGCTTGAGAACGCACCAGGTTAAGACCTAATAAATTCCACTAAAATCTAGATAAGTGCATTAGATATAAATACCAGGAAACAATGATTTAATTTTATATCAAAGTTATCAAATTAATGAAAAGTTAGTGAATATTCAAAGAGAATTATCGTGTCTGTTATTCAGTTACTTGGTTAGTCATGTCTTTGTTTATCTTGTTTGTTTGAAATTCATGCAAAGCTACACGAGGGCTATCTGCGCTGACCGTCCCTAATTTAGCAGTGAAAGG